AGGAATTATATATTATTTACAGTATATTATATTGTGTCCTATTGTATTTGATCTGCGAGAGTGTAAACAAAGGACGTCACCAACAGAACCTGTGATATTTTGTCTTTTTGTGGAGCGGGAGGAAGTGGAGGCGTGTTGTCTTTAGTTACTGTCACTGAAGCAGATGTTTCCATCAGATCAAATCAAAACCAGCTTCGTATAAAAGCTGAAAAAGTATTTGTTACAATTTAATTTAATTAATTTTTCAAAAAAAAAAATAGGGRGGTTTTTTTTTCTAATTATTTAAGGTAATGAATGAAATGAAAGTGTTTCCATTGAACTCTGAATGTAATGAGACCTTCTACATAATGAATGTTGGACAGCAGCTGTTATTAAAGTGGTCGTAATGACTCTCATTAGTCACTGAGGGTTTCGCTCTGCTCCTGCAACGTCTGTTGAAAATCCCAATAAGACGAATGTGAGCTTCAGGGAAATCACTTCAGGCCCAGTGGTCAAAGTGAGCAGCGTTAATCTGATGAAACACGGTTCACGTCTGTTGCTCCTGCAGCTCGGAAGTTGAAGTCAGTCATATTTTATTATTCAGGACGTACTTATCAATAAAACTCTTTAACTAAACGTCAAGCTGTGAAAACACTACAACTGTTGTGTCACTTGGCTGTCGTCATGATTAAAGCACGACATCAAGAAAACCTTAGAAAAAGAAAGAGATCACAAGTAAAGTATAGAAATGTAAAAGTAAACACTGAAAGCAGCTGAAAACAGAACAACACGAGAACTTTTAATTTTCAATTTGTTCGAGTTCAATGTTTCTTTTTCTAAGATGTTGAAGTTCAGAGAAAGAAAAAGAATCTCAGGAATTTATCTGATTGTGTTTCATGGATCTGAACAGAGTTCACGCATTTACATTTTTAAACATGGACAAAACACTGAAGATACAAAAAATACTTTGAATTTCTGAGAAAACAATCCAGATAATGTGCTGCAGCGTTTTTAACTCTATTGAGTCACATTCTAGTTTGTGATGTGACAATATTCCTAAAGAACAACGACTGGAACTGAACATCCTCTATTTTAATCAGCTGATATTTGTTTTAATACGATTTAGAAAAACATCCTGGAGACAACTCTGTCCCAGTCACCGGGACACATGTCCAGATGTCCTTTTTCTGAACTGATCTGAACCAGCCCATGGATGAAAATCCTTAAAGTACTAAGAAGAAATGAATATGAGGCAAACAGTGATTTATGAATATGGGCTGTACGAATAATTGTGTAACAATAACTAGATCAACTCATGACATCATTTGAAATGTTACAAACACATCAGCTTATTTTACAGTCGCTTGTGATTTCACACACAGAGACTGACTTCATGTGAGAAGTTGAGACGACGAAGAAAACTCACGTGATTCAGATCAACAAACAAAATGTAAAGTGTGAACTGCTGAGAAACTCTTCATCATCAGATTCCCCAGAGGATGAACCATCTCATAAACAGTGAGGGAGGAAGTGATGTAGCTTCAGTATTAGTGAGGAAACATCGCCATCTGCTGGAGGCGACTGCAGAGCTACAGCGTGGTGATGTCATCCAAACATCCACGAGCAAAAACACAGTTTGACTTCATTTCTATGAAATCAGTTTATTCTGAGGCCGATTTAACACATTCACTGAAGGAGGCTTCTGAACAT